TGGCCCTCCGGGCAGTCCTGGCTCTGGCCCGTGTAAATGTTATTGCGTAAATTTTACCACCTTTTCATTTGAAAGTTGACACATCAATTCATCCCGTGCACAGGCTTTGTTGCATTGAACACTTGATAGGTCGACGCATCAGACTCTTACAAAATTTTCTGTGTTGGTGTCTCCCAAACAATCGTCATCCCAACTAGAGGTGACCTCCCGGATTTGCTGCAGTGAACCATGTACAGTAGATATCATGTTGATATTCATGATAGGGGAATTTAAGGGGTGAATCGCTTTCAAAGCCACCGTATCAGGATTGTGATCAATTATTCGGGCTTGATATTCGAAACAAGCATGCATGTCTCACGCCACAGTTTCACACAGCAGATCCCTAGTGAACCAGAGTCAATAGATTTTCAACAACTTTATTATCATTTCCCACTTAGCATCTCTGAAGGATTTTTAATTGTTTGATTGATCTTGCAACCACATGTTATCAGTTTATATTCTATTCTGAAGCGTGTACCCAGACGATGAAAAGAATTTTTGATAGCCACAGTGTGACGCAAAGGTCAATCACGTTCCCGGGCCGGGAAAAGTTTGCACATCACAGGTCGAATTATCAATCTTGAGACCTGGTCTAGTAAACCAGAGCCAGGAACACATTCAAGACACTCCATTACATCTGTAAAATTAGTTTTCATGCATTTTATTTCAATACATGCACTTATACAATTGTTCTGTGCCAAAAACTTCAAGAAATCCCGTGCATTTCTTTTTCTAATAGTCACACCTGTGACTCGTTAACCTTTGCCCATGTTCCATTGGACCCACAACATGTAGCACTTGCTGCCAATTCCATCCAACACTCCCCTGCTATCATTAACTCATGACCAAGTACACTTCTCCCACTAAAAAGGCATGCATTGTCCAATGTCCATGACAAGGCTGCTGGTATGACCTCTACAGAGCTTGCCAAAAAGTACCACCTAGACCGCAGCACTATCTCACGTATTTATCATTGATACCACAAAAGTGAAGACTACTACAATATCAAACATAAAACAGGTTGTCCCCTCAAATTTACGACATTTAACACTTGCCAAGCAGTCCAAATGCTCGTGAACACAAATGCACATGACATCATTGATCTCCAAAAGAAATATTTCCTGGACATCCATGCAGACACAATCCAAAAGAGGCTCAGGGCCCATGGATTGAAGGCCTATGTATGCTGTAAAAAGCCCCTTTTAACAAAGGCACATATATCTAAGCAGCTAGAGTGGGCAGAAGCCCATGCTCATTGGATGGTTGAGGATTGGATGACTGTCATATTCTCTGACGAGTCTAAATTCAATCTGGTCGGTTTGGATGGACACTTGTGGTGTTGGAGGAGGCCAGGGGAAGAGTTTGATTTGCGTTTCACTGAGAAGGTAGTTAAGCACAGTGGTGGGAATGTCATGGTGTGGGGGTGCCTGACAGCCAAATGTGTGGGTTGGATTTGCCACATCAAGGGAAACATGAACGTGATACTATACACCAAGATCCTTGATGACAAGCTTCTTGGGACCCTCTGTGACCTAAAAACAAAGAAGAAGGACATTTATTTCCAGAAAGACAATGATCTGAAGCACACTTCAAATCTGGCTACAGATTGGTTCCAGAAAAAGAAGGTTGATAAACTTGATTGGCCGCCCAATAGCCCAGATATGAACATTATCAAGAATCTCTGGGACTATTTGGATCAGAAGGTATGCTTGCGATCACCACTCCCGAGGAACTGTGATCAGATGTGGGATGCTTTGGTGGAGGAATGGGGCAATATTGAGATTGACTATAATTAAGAAGCTTTATGAGAGTATGCTGCAAAGGGTGGCCACACAAAGTACTAGAAAGTTTTTTTCAGTTACCTTTTGAAATAGTTTGATACCACCAAAACCTTGGTAGGATGAGGGGAACAGAATAAGAATTGCACAGCATATCTTGGATTATTTCCTTTCCTTTAAGTCTGTGGGTGTTAAGAAATGTAAATGTATATTAAATTTGTGTAACAAAGAGTCCTAGCTTTCCAAAACTACTTGCAGTTTGTCATATAGTACACGGGTGGACAAGGAGAGGTACAATCATTAAAATTTGCCATGTGATGCATTACCTTTTTGAGTCACTGCAAAATATTTAAATAAATATGGATTGACCACAAATGTTTCCACATATGTAAAATATGTCAATACATATTTATTTAAATATTTTAAATATGCTAATGAATAGCTAATACATATGTGTGTATTTTATATCCACCACAGTCTGCCATGCCCAAAATAGTTACCCCCTCCTCCTCCTTCCTAATTTGGATAGGGGTGACCATATTAAGTAATGCACATGACAAATCTTTCCTAGGGAGATTCAACAAAACAGTAGATACTCATATATAATGTGTATTTCTGTGCAGTAAATAATAGAATTTCATGACACCTAAACACAGAGTAGTATTGCTATATTTGGTTCAATAGTACTGGTTTGGCAACATCTTTAATGTACAGGCTTATGATAAAATATGGCATGTACAACCCATATGAGTAGGTGGTGATTAGTAGCCATTAACAACATTTTAGTTGCAAGAATTTTTATACAATATATATTAAATAGGCAAACTCTGAGGTAAAGTATGTATTCATAGCAATGTATGACAGTATTCTTCACCAAAAAAACGAGCTTATGTGCGGAAGTCGGAACTTACAAGTTTGTCCAAATTTGGAAGTTCTGCTATAAACATGTTAGTTTAACACTGAAGTCTTATAACGTAAATCAGTGCAGAATTTAGTTCATTCTCACATAATTGGTTTCTCAGGCAAATGGACTTGGTCTGGTTAAGATTATTTTTGGAAAATATATACCCCATTGGGAAACTGAGAACCCATGGCCACCCGGCACCCTGATATACCACTGCATAGGACACTTCCTGTATTGAGTCACATAACTATTTGTCAAATTTCATTTAATATATTTTAATTCCATATAAGGGCCACAGGTAGTTGGCAAAAGGGATATTATGGTAAATTGCTGAATTCACAGAAATACTCACTGATCCTGAAATGGAATATGCTTCCAAAAATGGAAATACTGTGACCAATTGCTGAACCAAAGGCAAACCAAGGCAACACCAAGCAGTTCCTGCATGGTAAGTACATGGCCAAAATTTCTCTTTTAGGTATAGCATGTTCCACCACAAACAAAAACTTACAACTTACAACTTACAAGTTGTGAAGTTGTGAGTAAAAGTTTGATTTGTCACAAAAGTAATGACTAAAACATCTATTATTGCACAGACTAACAAAAATGGCATAAACTAAGATTTTTCAGTGAAAAATGCTTTCATAGCAATGCTATCAAATGTTGTCTATTTTGGTTTGAGTTTATGTCATCAGTGGAGCTGAATGGTGAAGTTGAATTATGGCTACATTACTGCAGCTTCCTTTTTGGGTCAGCAGACAAGTCAAACATTTAATAAATCCTTTGAAGCTTGGAAATGATGAGTGGAGGTAGAAAATGTCCTCCAAATTGTGTATTCAGGTATGTAGGACTATAGAAGCTTCACTAACCCCTCCACTAAATGACCTATATTTTTGTGATTTCAGGCCATCAGACCACCCCCCTCCCCCTACCCCAGGTGCGGGACTTTTAGTCTGCTACCCCCTTGGAGTATAGGATCATTCCTTGCAACACCAAAGCTTATTCTTGATGTATTACAAAATTATACTTGCTGAATCGAGGCCAAAACATAATGCCCACTGGCCAATTTGAATGACCGACCTGATTCCGTGGATGTTGTTCAACTTGGCTAGTGGGCAAGTGGCTTGAACACATGTCATGTGCCACCTATGTCACTACAACCACGTTGCATAATGACCTCAACACGATGCAACACGGAATAAAATTTGACAATGTTTGACAATGATGACTTGAATACAATTTAATTAATGCACATTCTATCCCGAAAGTTCCTTGATCCTCAGTTCTAGCTTCAACTTTTTGACTTCAAGCTGCTTAAGTTCCTTCTAATGCACCATCCTTTCAATCTCAAGCTTTTGTTTGGTGATATTGACACGTGCGAGGAGTACCGCAAGCTTCATAGCTTGGTCGAAAAGGGTTGGAATAGCCATATCAGCCAAAACACTATATCATTATTAGTTCAGGTTAGTAATTTGTATAATTGTGTATAGTTACATGGTCACATTCTCCTTCATACATCGGGCCCTCTTTTCAGGCTTAGCAGGTTGTGCAGGGGATGGCGGAGCGTGAGTCAATACCATTTTGTGTGAGTGGTAAGCAGTGAGAAGTGAAATTGACTTGGACGCGTGTCAAATATTTCAGAGTCCGCCATTTTCCCTCTCTACAAGTTATGGCATCGGGTGACCCAGATAATTCTTTTGCTGTCGCACCAATTCCACCTCCATCTCATGGCTTTCTGAATGCTCAGCTGTCAGCAACATCAAGCCTTCGTGGAGTTGCAAGTGCAGCTATGGCCTTTGATCCAGCTAGTTTTTCGAATCAAGCTTCAGGATCTATTGCTGGCATCCTGAACCAAAATCGTAAATTCTCATCAATGCTGCAGGATGCATTTACTCTGAGTGCTATATCTTCTGCTTTGCGTTTTCAAGCTGCACCCACCTCTGTTGGTCCTCAGGCTGCCTCCGTGCCCCAGGTTGATAATGTCAGAGCTGTCTTGAAAATTCGCGCACAACTGGGCCGTCTCGCAGGGGGAGGTGCCAAAATCCCCAATTTCCTGCAACAAATTCATCTTGATGCCCTTGCTGATAAAGATTGAGAGAATCCACATACCAAAAGACATCATTTGCAGACTATCCTACTCTGGAAGACCTATCTAGAAGCAACATTCCCCAACCTTCCAGAAAGTGCTTACTGGTATTCCCGGTGTGAATTTCCCTGGTGGATGGGAATGAGTCTGGCAGTAGTCTGTCTAATGAAACTAAATTGAGGCCAAAACAAAATGCCCACTGGCCGATTTGAACGACCGACCTCACCATCATGGATATCGTACGAGTGGCGCGCTCTACCACTGAGCTAAGCGGGCCCGATAGTAGGTAATGGCAATTTCCAGAAAAGGCAAGCAGCAGATTAATTACACTTACACTTACACGCCCCTCTTGCCGAGGCGACGCCTTCCTGGGCTTCGCTTCCTTCCCCTGCCTCGTCGTCTTTGAACCGTTCGCACTCGTCGTCCTTCGTCGTTACCATCACGCGCAGCACCGCCGCTCTCGTTAAGAGCGGGCACCATCGCTCTCTGTGAAATCCGTCACTACAACAACCCAACAACCTCCTTCACACGCGGCATCGTCACTCTCGTCCCGTAAACAGCACATCGAACTTCCTACATGCGCACCGTCGCTCTCCGTGAAATTCATCACTACCAAAAATGTCGTCAGTTGCTACAACCCCGCGATCTCGTCGTACACGGCACCGTTGCTCTTTCTCTTCATCCAGTGTCTCGCAAGTTGATCGGTCGCGCCCGCGTCCATATATAATCCCCGGCCGCTTTCAACTCGGTCTCCAACTACCCGCCCTCTGCCAATCTCTCTCACCGCGTCCTCTCACCTCACATCATATTCAAATTGCACGTACAAGGCAGACAGCACGCAAGTCCACCGGTGGTAAGCATCATCTTCGTTGCCATTTCGAGTTGGTGCTCATTGTTGTGCACCTTCAGGCAAAGCGCCCCGTAAACAGTTTGCTGCCAAGTCATCGGCACGTAAGACGCCATGGGTATTATTTTATTTTTAACTCGTGTTCGTCGCTGATCTGTCTGCAGAACACAACCGGTGGTGTCAAGAAACCCCATCATTCCCCCCCGGAACAGTCGCTCTTCGTGAAATTCATCGTTACCAGAAATCGAGAGCTCCTCATCAGGGCACAAGATTTCAAGGTATGTTCAATTTTGTGCTGTCACATTGCAGACTGATCTCCGCTTCCAACAGAGGCATACCTCAAGACACCAATCTCGCCGCCATCCACGCTAAGGGTGTCACCATTCAACCGAAAGATCTTATATTGGTTCGTAGACTGCGGGGAGAGTGATCATAGATTCGGGGTGTTGTTTGACCGTGTACTGGTGTATTTTATTTGTATCGCAGCCTCTACCATAATTTCCCTATTTTTTTCCTCTTCGCTTTCGAAGTTCTGTGTGAAAGATAAGAATATCGCACGAAAATTGTTGTTGCCAGAAGGATCTTGTTTTGCAGACCGGGGGATGCAGGGAGTGTTGGTACTTTGAAATTTATGTGTATTTTATTCCTGACTCGGATCTGATTCGATCGGGAAAATATAGTAAATGGGTCATCTCTCAAGGCAGATCGGTAACCACCGGGGCTATTAGAAGCACCAAATAACCGATCTAACTTGAAAAATGACCCACTTACTAGATTTTCGCAATCTATGGTGCTGTTCACTTAGCCACCACGGCAGACCGCGGTGGATATAAAATACACACATATGTATTAGCTATTCGTTGGCATATTTAAAATATTTAAATAAATATGTATTGATAGCAAATGTTTCCGCATATGTAACATATGTCAATACATTTGCGTGTCAGAACTATTTACATAAGATAGTTGTGCTCTGCGTATCTGTTTCTGGCAGGTATGCAGAGCAAAAATATCTTGCCCGAATAGTTCTGACATGCAAATGTATTGACATATTTTACATATACGAAAACATTTGCAGTCAATGCATATTTATTTAAATATTTTAAATATGCTAACGAATAGCTAATACATATGTGTGTATTTTATATCCACCGCAGTCTGCCATGAACCACCTGTTTTGTGCAGTGGCTGTGCATGTGCCAAATTGACAATAGGCGAAAATTGAAATCCTAACCTGAAAAATGAGAACTTTGACATGGATTTGGGTCAATTTGACATGAAAAATGTGCATAAAGGTACCTGGAATGGCCCCACAGGGCTGCTTGGAGGGTTCAGAAGCTTCAGAAGTGGTCTTTTGGCCTAACTTTAAGCCATATAAGGGGTTAGAGGAAAACAATTTCAGATGCCCCTTAGTTTAGGCTTATCTGGAAGCTCTTTCCAAATGCTGTCAATTGGTACTAAAATCAAGTTTCCAATTTTGAACCAATTAAAAATCCCTCTTGGGGATTTGTTTTAATCTTCAAAAGGAACATTTTGCCAAGAGGAATAAAGTCAGTGTTTTTTTATTGCAGGTGGGAAAATTTTGCACAAAACAAGTGGTGGCTAAGTGAACAGCACCATAATCAGAAGTCAATTTTCACTGGGGACCAGGTCTCAAGATTGATAATTCGTCCCGTGACGTGCACATTTTTCCCAGCCTGGGCACATGACAGCCCCTGCGAATCATATTCAACAACACTTGAGCATCTGAGTGTACACCTTGTGGATTAAAATGGACCAGACATTTGTTTACTTGACTTCATTTGAATGGTGAAATTATCAATTACTTTTGCCCACACACGGACCTAATTCCACACTAAAAAATAAAATAAAATAAAATAAAAAACTACTGCCACCGGTTCACTATGGATCAGCCAGGTCAAAGCTGAGGCATGAGATTCACCTGCTTATTTAGAATGTCAGGAATGATTGACCAATTATGATCTTATTGGAAAGTGTGGCTAACCACTTAACCATGCTCTTGACTTCTGTGAATATATTCCTTCAAGTCACTTGAAAAGGCGCACTCTATATTCTTTGAACCTTTACACAGCCAGATGTTAGATTGGCCTGTGGTTGAAAGGACTTGTGTGGGATTGCATTTAATTTTCTAGATATCCCTGGGTTCAATCTTGATAGCCTGGGGTGATCCCTCTGAAATTGAAACCCACTTAAAATCAAGGGTGATGCATGGGTGAACCTGAGTGAAAAATAGACCAGGGATGAACTGGCTGTCAGCCAGGGGCTTGAATCAGAATTTCAAACACTGTGAAGCTTGCCATGATCAAATTTTGTGGTGTCAGATTCAATCATTCTTTCACCTGTCAAGTAAGCACCAATGGATCAATGGCCTCCTTCCAATCCAAAGTGTGAGTATGACTTCTTTCTGGTCCACTGCAGATGATGCTGAATATCTCCATTGCATATGCAGACTGGGAAGCAATCAATGACAATGGGAAAGACAGTAGTATGGAGATGCATTGTGTGTTGGGATGGACGAATGGTGCCATATGAAAAAACACGTCAACATGAAACATTGGGTGCACATATTGACCTGGTTGAGCTTATGGAAAGGCAAGAAAGATTTGATACTGAAGAGCTTGCAGAAACCCAGAGTGGTGGCAGATCAAATGGAGGCTCTCTGCCACCAAATATTGCTTTGATTGCCAACGGCATGCGAACACTTGTTCAATTACTTGCAGTGGGGGCCCCTACAGGAAGTTGAGATGACTTGATACCTGACTCTGTGCCATCCACTGACCCTTCCCCTACTCCTGGGTGGGGACTCTTTGAAACATATGGTGACATGAACCTGGCTCTTTCAACAGAAGATCAAGGGATTGTTCTTATTGTGAAGAGTCTACTGCACTATTTTGATGAGGTGTCAGTAGGATCAGAAGATGACGGAGATGAGAGGTCAGATGATGACACAAACAAGATTCTGGAACTGATAGTTACAGGCCAGCAGCTGTTTTGAAATCTTCCTATTCTGTGCTAAAAGCTTCCACTAGACAATAATGATGCACCTGGGTCCAAACCACCATGGAAGCGTGCATGCGATCTTAGAAAAGATAATTCCTTGGATCTGTCAGAAAAGTGGTTCCTGTGGCACAATAAGATTGTAAGGCAGACATTTAATTTACCAATAACTTTTTGACTCAATCTTTTATTTATCAAACACTCTGCAGGCTGAAATATATCCATTCTGCAAATGTTCTCCATCGTGATATTAAACTGGGTAATCTGCTGGTCAATGCTGACTGCAAACTCAAAATCTGCGACTTCGAACTATCTTAGTTCTGCTAAACTGGAAACTATCTGAGAACTGGTACTGGTGACTAAAGCTGGGTACTGGGTAATTGAAAACTGGGGACTAGGAACTTGGAACTGGGAAACTACTTGAGGTAGAAGGTACTTGGAACTTGGAAGGGATTTTTCAGATCCAGAAAGCCCTCCTTATATACTATTCCAACTTTCCCACCCCTTATCTAAATACAATCTGCTACAGAGACTGAATCTACAGATTATTACCATGAAAGGACCTTTCCAGAACCTTCTACTTCATCCAGGAAGGTTCCATAGCCAGGAGAAAGATTCCAGATTGAATTAGTAATATCTTGACTGTACCTTTTCCAATTTTCCCAATTAGTAAATGTTCCTGAACTTTCTCCATGTTTCCTGAGACTGCTCCTGCTTTCTCAGTCCTTCTCTTTCATTGTCTTCAGATCCCCCTGCTGAGGTTTTGTCCTTCCTGCTAGAACCTTCCAACAATCTCCAGAGATTTCTTTGGCTCCACTGTGCTTTCTCCAACCTTCTGAGGTGCTATTTGTCATCTGCCCCTATACTTCTTTCCTGATCTGTATCTAGTCACATGCTCTGGTCCCTTTTGGATCATGTGACCAAATCATAATTCCTCCATTTCTGCATTTTCTGAGGGTATGACTAGGAAGTATTTAATGACAATCAAGCAGAAGGTAAAACATAGCAAAGAAGCAGTCAGAGTACTAGTAATGCATGAAGGTGAATGAAAACTTGTAGAGGGGATACAATCCTGCAAGGTAAAGTGATAATCCATTTGATGCTGTGGATGATGTGATATACGCGTGTCCGTTCCTTATCATCCTGAATCTTTACCCTTGTATTGTAGCATAATCCTGACTCTCCTTCCTATCAATTTCCCCTTCTGTTTTCTCATACCAGCTCAGGTTATTCTTTACCTCTGGCATGGCGAAATCCTGCTTGTCATCCCAAATACGAAAGGGGGGAAGAGCAAGTCCTGTAAATCCAGGCTGAACTCTCTGGTTGAAGGAGGGTTTATAAACTTGGATGTTCATACCCTCTTCATGCGTGTGGAAGTAAGGGATGGCAATAAGACGAGTGGGGGGTTTTT